CACAAACTAATTTCTGAGCATTTTGAGCATAAATAGGTTGGTTCAGAACCTAGAATTCAGGTTCTCAGCGAGATCCAGATGCTCGATAGATCCAAACTGGTATCGTGACAATATCCATGTCATGAGTAGTTGTGTACTAAACCTGCAAAGCAAATAAAAAGCAAAACAGATGCACTCCAGTGGCAGTAACACACCTCTAAGTTGGTTTGCCAGCCGCCAAGCAAGTCAAGAAGAAGTAGCAAAATGGAGAAGTGTGTTGCCTGATCATCTGAAGAAACTACAAATATACTCCATTTTGTTTAATATTTCTTAATGTATTGGAGTGGAGTAGGCATCTGGTTTCCAGACGGTTGTGATTGCTCTTCCCTGGCTGTTGCCTGCATGCATCAGAGGATATTTACATAAAGTTAAGCTTTTCTTAAAATTACCCTGTAGTGATGCTACTGTAGGTGTGTTTTGAATCTGTCAAGCTTTGTGGGGAGCACGTCTGAAAAGCCAAGTCTCATTCACGATGAATGGCAGTTGTTGCTGGCTGAGCCTTTTGAATCGGTATCTGGCAACATTCCATAAGAGGCTGCATGACCTGGCTATTATCTTGCAGAATAAATCAACAATTAAGCAATTTTATCAGGGAAACCCACCTTATTCCCTTGCTGTGAGTATAAGCAGTACCCTGGCAGTCTGTATTGAACACGGCAAGGCTGAACGTTGTGACTGTCTCTGTAGGGTTGCAGTTCTGGACAGAGTGACAGATTTTCTGTTGTTTCTGGGCAAAGTGCTGATAGCAGGAGGAGTTGGTGAGTAGTAATGCAAGGCCGAAGCATGGATGTACTGTATTATGAGAGCTGGACACAGAAGAAAAAAATGTTTTGGGCTATGAGCCAGGCAAGCAACTTTCGGTAGCTGTTACATGGAACCCTAATATTCAACTAATAATCAGAATAATGGCTCAGTCAAAATAAAAATGCTGCATGTACCCACCTTAGCTGGAACAGACTGGCCTGATCTGGCCAGATGGGAATACATTTTTGGAATGAGAGGGGTGGTGTAAACCTTTGATAATCCATACAAAAAGGAAAATATTTGCCATGTAAATATTTGATCTGATCATTTCTCTCTTGTTGGAGTAAATATAGCCTTTGTGTGCATGTTTGCCCCACATGGGGGTCACATTAAGTGACATCCCAGGAGGTACAGAAACATCCTGTCAGCAAAATAAACTAGTCTGTGGCCATAGTTATTGTACTGCCAGAGCACGACGGAACAACACTCTGCCACATTTTTCCCAAGTGAGGAGAAAGAATATTTGCATATAATTCAGCTGATATTCATATACATTTTTGTCAGGGCAGCCAATCATCAGTAAAGTGTACGTCTTACAAGACAACAAGTAAAAACAAATGGACTGGTCAAAGTTGTTGCATTAAAATTTAGGGTGTGTGACTGATTCACAGTGTCAACTCACAGTAAATCTGTGTTGCTAGATAATGTTACCTAATTAAATGGTAAATGGTAATTAAAACAAAAAGCCAGCACAATATTATATTTTAGAACAACTAAGAGAGTAAAAGTTTCTGATGGTGTAATGTTAGTTAAACAACAGTAATAAAATCAGGCCCAAGGCTTTCTCGGGCTAGCTAACAGGTTGATAGATAGTTTATTGTCATTATACTTGTGTACAACTAATGACACTAACAGGTTGGCTTATACCTGCCGACTAACTAGCACTGACAATATAACATAGGTGCAGTCGCTCTGCACATGTCAATAAAGTTAGATTCTGATTAAATGCTTTGAGCATGTACACCCACATCTTATCACATGACCATCCATGTAAACAGTTACACTGGAATCTTTGATCAAAATTATTTCATTATATTGTCCATATAACTGCAGCTAGTGTGAAAAATGCCGTCTTGTAATCCGGTACCCAGGTCTCATAATATGTACATCCATGCGCTGAAGTCTTACTTTAGGCACTGTCATGTTTATGTTCTATGTTGCATTTTTGAATTGAGCGATTTTACTTATTTTTGAAAATAATTATGTTTCAGAAAAAAATTTAACAGTATAGCAATCCATAAACACATGTAGACAGTTGCACAGTGTCATTGTGTACATGTGTTTCAGGTGTGATTGCATTCTTCTTCTTCACTAAAAAGATCCCTGTTATGCAGGAGAAAGTGCCTGATCTCAACTGCTACTGGGTTCCCCTGCTGGTCAGACACACACACACACACACACTAATTTCTTGGAGACTTAACCATAACCACTACTTGCCTTAACTTAATCCTTACCCTGCTCTAACCTTAACCTAAACCTTCACCTAACCTCATTTAGCGCAAATGGAAACAATGACAATTTGAGTATCACTTGAGGCCGGGGTTTTGTAGAATACTAGGTGCATTGCATGTGATGTATTAGTCCCAGAGTAACAATCAACCTGGAATCTAGTGTCTTGGATTTGAGGGACAAGTTGGGTCATACAGACCATCTCCTCTGACGTCATCTCTCTTATCTGTGTTGCAGTAATTTCAGTGAAAGTAGCTGCTGTTCAACATCTAGTAGTTTTAACTCCAACATGAGTTTCAGTCGCCATTGTTAGGTAGTGGCAGAGACACAGTGGCATAGAAATTCTACCGCTAACTAGCGTTTTTGCGGTGTGACTGCAGGGTGACACAGACACCAGTGCACAAGTATAAACGTTCACAATGCCGTAGGCTATTTACATAATCTACATTGTAGGCTCTGAGTAGATTTACACAGAGCCATAAATCAGCTGAAGTCCCACTGTAGTTTTGCTAACCTCTGTGTTTTTCCACATCAGACCGTGGTGATAGGTGCTTACCTGATTGCTCATGGTTTCTTCAGCGTCTATGTCATGTGCGTTGACACACTCTCTCTCTGTTTCTGTAAGTACGACACTATCATTACTGCTTTTAGTACAATACTGTTGTTATGTATGTACATAACTGAAATAGTACAAGCATACTGAACTCAGATTATCTCCAGTGGCCATAATGGAAAAAAGTTCTGTGATTAGGCTTAACTCCAGGACAGTCATTCACAGCATTGCTCAGCATAGTTCTAACAGGCATGGTGGAAATGCAGGCCTGTACAGTATGATGTCAGTGTTTTGTCTATTAGTGTATTTTAGTCTTAATCATTTTATTTAATTTATTTATAAGGCTGGTTACTGTAAGGTTGTATCTGAGAGCAGATGCATTTTTTTTCATTGGTAATTCTGTGCTACACATTTGGCAAAAATAGACATTAACGAAAATGTATACTTTGAGCTGCACTACAGGGTTAAGATGTAATTACCAGGTTGTGTGCACACACAATATAGTTGAATGAAATGTCTTTTTTTTCCTTGCCTTAGACAAAAAATAGCATGCAATTTCTGTCTGACTGCCATCTGTTTGTGTTTGACATGCAAATAATTTATTATTATTATTAGATGTTATATTAAGCTCATATTTATTGGAATTCACGTAAACCTTATTATCTACAGAAGCTAGACTTTTGATGCAAAGTAAAAACTGAAGTAGAATTGGTGGTACTTATTCTGTCCAGTAATAGTGGTATCTTTGTCTTGTATAAATGATTTTTCACTATCAACAGTAAGCCAGTGATGGCTGCCTGCACACCCATAATTACAGTGAAAACAGGAATGTTATTAGTACTCAATGTGTCTCATCAACATGATTAGTATTTCCCTGGAACACATACACTCTCCTCTGTTCACCCGCATATAGATAAGATTCATTTGCCTAGTTATGAAAACCTGTGGGTATGGGGCAAACATTAAAGCTTTCAAACTGTGTAATTGTTTTTTATTAAAATGAGCACAGAACATGTGTATTACCCTTGGTGCGCCCACTGGCATTTCTGAGTAGCCTAATGCAAATAACTCAACTGGGTTAAAATATTTATGATTTCAAGGTTAGCTTTGGATAAATTCATCCACCCAATAACATGTCCCTTCAAATTTATGTTAGAAATCTTACTGATATACAGTACATTTTCTTCTTATACTTTGGTTGGATATAATAAGGTCAAGGTTCAGTTTCATCGAGTCTCAAATTCGAGAAAAAATTCTAGAGTTTGCTCAGATTTTAGTAAATTCTATAGTCTATGATCAACTGGTCTCTCTTTTGTGGCTATTTCACAACACTAACCTCTTTTTTGTTTGTTTTTGGTCTCCATTTTATTTAAAACCACCCTGCTATCCTGCTGTACTATTTCCCATCCATAAATCTTGATTTAATGTTTGTTCCCCATCTTGACTCTCTCGATTTCCATTCTACCCATTCATCCACTTATTTATCATTCATCAATCCATCCCTTTATCATGATCCATACCTGCTCTTCCATGCTTTCCCCTTGACCTATCCATCCACTTATTGGTCCATCCAGGTGATGACTTGGAGAGAAATGACGGTAGTTCAGAAAAACCTTTTCACATGTCTCCAGAGCTGCACAGTATTCTGAGAAAATCCAGTCAATTGCATTGATGTCCTGTCCTCCTCTCCACTGCATCAGCAGCCAGTCTGGTCAGTCTTTATCAATCTGTGAGGGATTCTTGGTCCTGGAAAGAGATCACCTGGCCAAATCAAAGCTGTGTCAAGGACCCCACACCGAACAAACACGACACTGAAAATGATAACACTGGACTGTTTGGGATCTGGATTTTTTAAAGTGATCCTGGAGGTCCTACAGTACTTTTTTAATCCTCACAATGGGTGGTCTTCTTCACTACTTCCCAACATACTGTATATTGAGACACAGAAGATGAAATCCTCATGCAATCTAAATCTGAAGGACTCAGCCACAGTGCCAGAAGACATTTTTTTCCTGGAGCCTTCTGCAGTGGCACTCTGCTGCCCCATTTCAGTAACCTTTTTATGCTGTTCTGTCCTTGAAAGTAATATTTAAGCCCTAAAGTTAGTAGGTGGGTAGAGTATTGTTTTGTATATAACTTCAGTGTTTAAACTGTTTTGCAAAAAGATCAAAATGTGTAAAAATCACTCTAGGCAGAAGTGAATGTGGCCCATACAAATACTACAGTTACCCTCATCTCACCCAGTGTCACCTGGGCTCGGTTCCTGACTCTCAAACATAAGCAGCTTTAGCTAATGGATGGCTGTACAAACAGACTGACATGACACCACAATCCAGGTCACAAAAAATATTGTTCCTACACCTCACAGTACAGACCCAAGACAGTAAAACCTGTAGCTGGAGGTTTGATGGCCATCTGCACTGAAGACAAATGTACTGGGAGTTCAGTGAACACTTCAGAAAGCAGGTTTAGTGAAAACTCAGTTTGTTCACCATGAGTTGAGGGGAGCTCTGGGTTTTCAGTTCCAGAAACAGAGATCGCTTTAACTCTGAGTCACTGGCTGGATAGAGCCCAGTAATGTGGAGCTCAAGACCTTTACTAAAGTGATCATTTGTGATCACTCAGTCATCAGTGTAAAGGCAGCGCTCTCCTCACATTTAAATACCAGTAGCCTACAGCTCAGGATAAAATTGGTACTGTCTGCTTTTCTAACACTGTGACTCTGTGGAGATGAAGACACCTGTCAGGTTGTCAGTCAGTTCCCCTGCACCCAAACATATTGTACTGTAGGCTACGTTACTGTGATCACTGTATGCACTTAACAAATCAGTGTGAAGCTGATCTGTGAATAATCAGTTCTTGTTCTGTTCTTCGTTGCGTTGGAACATTCCTGTCCTGGTTGCTGATCATATCAGAGACTATGTGAATGTTTCTGAGGGAGGATGATTGTAGTGCAGCTTTAAAGACGTCAACATTGTAAAACTGGACTAAATAAAATTTAAAAAGTAGCTTTTGTGTATAATCCTGTTTTAACAGCATTTCAATGACTTTCAAATTCACTAGTTAAATGTGTATTAAATACAGCAGAGTCAGGTCTTAAAATGTCTGTGATGTCTAAAAATGTATAGAGTTTTTAAACTTGATGCTTTTCTGCCTGAAAATCACCAAAACCATTATTACTGGGTCAGACTGAGGTCACAATCAGAGGTCTATAAATAAACTTCTCTTCGCAGACTAACATATGACTTTATATACTGTACTGTATACTCTGTATGGTTTAAGGGCACCTATACCTCTTTGGAGACAAATATTCAGTATTTCTTATTTGTGTTTTTTTTTTCACATAGGGTAGTTCTGACATATGTTTTTGTGACACAGGAAACCGAGCAAATTATGCTAAAGAGGTGGATTTATATAACTCAGATCTGGAATATTATGTGGCCAAATTTTGCCAAGGCAGGATATGATGTGAAAACACACAGTTCCAGTTGCTATATGTCTTTTTCTATGTTAAGCAAAGGTTAATGTTTTGAAACACACTTCCAAATCTTTTATACTCCCTGATATACTCTGTTCAGTTTTGTAAAATCAATCATTAATCTATTTTTAATGTATTGTTTTTACAGTTTGTAAAATTGCTTCA